GTTGTCTCCGGTCATCTTTGACCTTGCTCCGGCCAGCCATGGCTATTCGAGTCTGACTCTGGACTCTCCTGCTTAGATCGATGGTTTTCAAAGCCTTTCTCACCATTTGGGGTTCTTCTTAAACCCTAGCCTTTAAGGTTCTTCCGATTTCTTTTAGATTTGTTTCAGACCTATGCTTACTCTAAACTTCTAAGCATTTTCTCAAAGTTTCTTTTAAAAACTCTACCTTCAAAAACCCTTATTTCTTCCGATTAGGTTTTCTGTTAAGTTATTTGACATGTTTTGCTGTGTTTCCTTACGTCATTCTTCTACTTGAGTTTGCATGTTAAGGGCCTTAATTTCTTATGAGGTTTCTGAATCTATTTTTGCTATTATTTGTTTGACTTACTTGCGCTTCATTTCCAGACTCGATTGGTGTTGAAAAACCCTAATTTTGGGTTCATTCTAGTTCTGAGAATATTTGTTATGTGATTTACTTGTTCATCATCTTTGAATTCGATTTGTTTCAAAAACCCTAATTTCTTTAGGGCCTATTCGGGCTTCTGAAGCTGCTTCATCTGTTTCTTTATGTGATTTGGTTTCTTGCAATCATTGAAACTCGAATGTACTTTTCAGAAGGGCCTTTACTTGACCCTTTGCATGCTTCTGATACCCTATTACTAAGTTAACGAAGCTGACCTAGGTGACTACCATGTTTCCATGTTCACAGTCTACTGACTATGTGATTGTTATTGCATGCTGCTTCTCTTTGCCATAGTTTGGCCTCGCATGTTTATGTACTCTATTTATATGCTAAATTCCCCTTTTGAATGACCTCCAATTCTAGACTGTTTCAAACCATTTCTTGTGAGATTTTGATTGCACTCGTGTTAAGTAATTGATTTTTTTTCCTTGTTTTACCTCACTGATTTCCCTGTTTCTTGGTCTAATTTGAACACTTTCCTTTGAGCCTTCGATCCTAACCTTTTCTACTCAATTTGATTGATTCCCTTACCTTGGTTTCATTGGTACTCGATTCTTACCGACATTTCCTTGATTAGAATCTGATGAACCTAGTCCTTATTGCATATTGAGTACTTGTACTATGCTGAAAATATTTCCTTATTGGTTATATTCAGCCTTATGTGATTTCTTTCCTTATTTAATATTTGCATTGTTACCGTTTAATTTAACTCCTTAATTAAAGGAAGTACTTATACTGATTTGATTTTAGTTAGTACATAGTTCCATAATTACTGCTGAACTATGATTCGACTATAAATACCTTGCTCTTTAATTAGCACACACACGAACATTCTTAGTTCTGAACTCTCACTTACACTAAAAAGAACACTCTCTCTTGCTCTACCGCTTCTACTGTGGCTTGTTTAGCTGTTTGAAAATCAAAGCTGTATTTCAGAAGTCCTGCTATCCTTCTTTACTACATTTGCTTCTTTGAACTGGTATATTCTAGTTAAGATTTTAGCATCAACAACAACATGGTTACTTAATGTTCTTGCATCCTTGTCTGCCTATTGCTTCAGTACTTTATTTAGCATGCTGCAATTCTTTTCTCCTGTTCTGAATAAACGTATTATGAATCCTAAATCCCTACCCCAATGTGTTTGATAATTATGGTTTGTTTGGGGCATGACAGCATCAAATATTGCTGAGCATGATTCAAACTTGGTCCTCCTAGGATCATAACCTCTATGCCACCTTTATATGTTGTGTGCTCTGGTTGATTTACAAGTATGACAGCACCCCTATTGCTCTGCATGCCCTGAATTGACATATGCCTAAGTATATAGGCCCTTGCAATGGATTCACAATCCCCTGCCCCCTTTGGTGTAAAATTATCAGCTTGTTTGAAGTGTTACTGACTGTTTCCCAGCACCTCTTTCCCTCTTCTTTACTTCCTTAGTACTTAAAGCTCTGTTTCTGCACTTGCACTATCTTCCTAGACTTAAGTTCTGCCCCCCTCATGTGAGCCTTGCCTTGGGACCCATGAGCTCCCTCTGAACTTGGACACATGAGGGCTGGTATTTCCACACTGCATTTGTCCCTATTCTGGTTTTGGAACTTAGGTGTGAGCACTGCCCGGGGTCCTTTTGAGGCCTTTAGGGAACTCTGACATACTCAAGTTTGAGAAAGGCTTTGAAACAAATGGCATTTGAAGTGGTTTGGCCCATAACTCAGAAAGGAAGTCAGGAATCTGGCTTCCTCTGATTGTAATTTTCTTTCTTTTATTTTTTCGATGTAATTCATTACTGGGTATGTAATAATTTTATAATAAACACCGGGGCTGGCTAGTGAAAAAAGGGTTGGGTAATTATGCATGCAAGGGTAGAAAATATGCCTATAGGACTTCTTTTAATTCTGCACTTGCAAATCACATTTAGAAACCATGCCTATAGGGTGTTTTAAATTCTGCATATTTCAAACTTCACCTAGAAACCATGCCTATAGGGTGTGTTAAATTCTGCATATTCCAAACTACATATAGAAATCATGCCTATAGGGTGTTTTAACTTCTGCATATCTAAACTACATATAGAAATCATGCCTATAGGAGTTTCTAAATAAATCTGATTCGTTTTCATTCACAGTCAATGTTAGATATCATGCTCCTAGGAACTAAAATCAGTAACGCATAGAAGTCATGCCTATAAGAATTCCGAATCAGTGTTGCTTTGCTATATTTCTGAATCAGTAATAGATATCATGTTCATAGGATCTCGCTCAAACACTTAGGAAAGCCTTAGGTGATAACGACCGATAAAAACTGATTTCACCTTTGTTAATTAATAACTGACGCAATCATTAAGCAAGTCTGATTCTGACTTCCTATCTGAGCCATATATCAAACTAGTCTGCCTCAACAACCTCCTCTCCCTCGTCTTTGATATTTTTAATCAGACCTAAGCAGTATGTTCAAGACATGCTATTTTATGTGTTTGGTTTGAGGAGGTATACTTGAGCCTTTGCTTGCTTATATGTTTACCCAAACATGCAGTACGTGTTTTGTATGTCGCCTTAGAATTTTTACCTTTGAAACTTCAAATAAGCCTAATATCCCTCCCTTTTAGGATTAGTAGTCCTAAGTGCCTCTAGGACTGATAGGATCGGGACGGGTAATAGCATGCAATAAGTAATCGAGACCAATCCACGCTTTAATACCTTAACGGGGTGGGAAGGGTAGATATGGATATGATGACCACGCGATAATGTCACGTGTAGCCCCTCATTGAGGAGTGATTAACGGACATTGTGTGGGGTGATCCATATTTTTAATAAACCTAGGACCCCCCCCCCCCGCCCCTTTTCCTTTTATTCTTTACTTTTTTTTTAGCATTGTAACTCCCTATTTAAAATTAGCTCTTTGATTGTTCTTTCAAATTTATTTACTTCCTAACCATTATGAATCGAAATCCCCTCTTACTTGAGCCTCATTTGCTTACATGTTAATTGTATCCCAAATTCACAATAACTGTTTGGCCGGGAACCACATTAGTGGATCCTGAGGGGTGCCTAACACCTTCCCCTTAGGATAATTTCAAAGCCCTCACCCTATCTCTGGTTATCCAAGTTTAGTTATAATTAAACCCTGTAAGGTGTCCTAATGCACCATAAATCATTAGGTGGCGACTCTTCAAAACCTAGTTCCCAAAAGGAACGAGTTGTCCCTCCAAATGTCATGAACCCGATTTCGCGAGGAAAAAGGGGCGCGACAGGTTAGCTTTCTCTTCAATATTGCTTTGACATTCCCAAGAGTAATGGCCAAATTTATGACAATTATAACACTCAATTTTTTATTTGTCATACCTTTGTCCATTATTTTCTTGGTAGTAGCCACGTCCTCTTCCTCCTCTTTGTCCACGACCACGACCTCTAAATGTTTGGTGGATTTTAACTTCATTGTTGAAGTTGTTAATATTAGTTCTTCCTCTTCCATGACCGCCACGGCCTCGGCCTCGTCCAATCCCTCGATATCTTTTTTCACTTCCATAATCCTTGAAGGATGCCTGAGTTTTAAGAAGTTGCTCCAATGGTACTTCTTGTCTCATCTTGATCTTTTCTTCATAAGCCTGTAAAGAACCCTCCAATTGCTCCACCATCATAGAGTCTAAATCTTTAGACTCCTCAATAGCACACACCACAAAATCAAATTTAGGTGTTAAAGTGCGAAGGATCTTTTCTACCAGACGGACAGCTTCTATGTCCTCCCCGTATCGTCTTAATATATTTACAACAGCCTTTACTTTTGAACAATAATCCGAAATACATTCGAATTCTTTCATTTTTAAAACTTCAAAATCAGACCTTAGAGTTTGAAGTTTTACCTTCCTCACCTTGTCAACTCCTTGGAGAGAATTTTGTAAAATCTCCCAAGCTTCCTTTGAGGTGGTAGCATCTGCCACCTTCTCAAACATGGCATCATCCAAACATTGGTGGATGAGCGTGAGGGCTTGTTGATCCTTCTTCCTTGTCTTTGCCAAGACAACTTTTTCATTATAAGGCAGAGCTTCCTCATTATCGGGTTTTGCATACCCTCTATCTACGATTTCCCATACATCCTGGGAGCCAAGAATGGCTTTCATACGTAAACACCATTTCTCATAATTATCTTTTGTGAGACGGGGATACTGAAAAGACAGCGGACCATTAGTCGCCATGGCTCTAATACCACATTGTTGGGAAAATAATATTCCCGCCCAGGAATAATATCCACAGTAAAACAACAATAACACAAGAGAGTAACAACGACACCAAATATTTTAACGGGATAAAATACAATACCCAAGCGGAGCAATATTACCACTATAATATTACAACTTAGTAGTGTCAAGAGACTACTACAACTTCGAAAGAAATAACACTCTTTATTTTAAACACCTCACTCAATATTACTCTCCCTCACTATTTATCTCATAAACTACAATCTGTGGATTACTCTCTCTAACTCTCTGTTGCTTCTCTCAATTTGGTGTGTCTAAACAAGAAGAATTGAGCCTCTATTTATGGCAGGAATTGCCAAAGTTTGGACCAATCAGAAGGTTCAATTTCATTGCAATTTGCAATTGCCTCCGCCCAAAGTTTGTTTTGGTTTCACTGACTTGTTGCAACTTGCAATGCAACTTAAAGCTTTTTTGTTTCTGCCGTTATTGAACAAGTTGTCATTGCAACTTGTTTCTTTCTTATTTTAATTATTTCAACAGGGACCCTACACCAACAACAGCCTCTTATTGCTCGAAAGCCATGAATCAGTGTGAATTATAAGTATGTGCCACTTATTCTTGATCATGATATCAATAATAGTGATGGAATTGATGAACTAGTGGATCATGACATGTTTCAATATTTGGAACCACCAACTTATTACTATGCTCGTGCTATGAATATAGATGATGGTGAGGAACGAGCATATTGTTTCATATGTTGTCTTGAAATTCAGAATGAAGATATATTAATAGTGACACTTCCATATGAAGATGCGTTTCATGTAGATTGCGTCAAGGATCAGCTGAGAAGGAGGAATGCTGTAGTTTTGCTCGCACACGAAGAAATAGTAGAAGAAGAAGAGGAGGAGGAAGAAGAAGACGAGTTCGAGGATGAAGAAATTGTAGAAGAAAAAGAAGAAGAGGAGAAATTCGAGGTTGAAATAAGTACTTATAATGCTCTTAAATTGGATATAGAAAAAGAAGCATGTGTCATTTGTTTACTTGATTATAAAGAAGAAGATATCATTGGCACACTTAAATGTGGCCATGAATTTCATGCAGGCTGCGTCAAGAAGTGGCTGTTGCAGAAGAATGCATGTCCGTTTTGTAGGGCTTCAGTTTAATTTGCGCACATATGACTATTGACAGGCTATATTCTTAATCTTTTGAATTCAATGATAGTAGTAATTAATATTATTTTTGTAATACATATTAGTCTTATTTCCCTTGTTCTTTTTCTTTCTGTTTGGAGGGCAAGTGTTGTTAATTTTTGGCTATGTAGTTTGTTTATATTGTCATCTATAACACAAATGGGGTGTTCGTTGTGGGTACAGTCCATCTAACCTTTTTATGTCATCTATAATACATATTCATGGTTCAAACTGGTATTTATGATTTCTTGAGCAAGCCCAAATTAACGAGGCAACGAGCTAATCTGTTCGCTACATCGAACGCAAACTTTTAAGATCTACCAAAATTATAAGAGTGAAAACATATCCTCAGCATACTTATCACATCACGATATTAGTACTGAATATAAACCAAATTGTTCACATCAAAGTACTGAATATAAACCAAAAATGTAATTCGAAAAGAAGGGCAATAATAAGACGAGCAGTCAATACCCTTGTATTGTAAACTCTCATGAAATCACGTGTGCAAAATTAACATGAGAAAATGAAAATATTCCTAGCTCAGTTCACAGGCACAACTACTCAAACAATCAAGTACAAGGCAGGATAACATGTGTTCATACAATGTCTCAATTCAAATCTTTTGCAAACAAATACTATAACCTACCTTTGAGGTCCATAAGAAGCCAATACTATAATCATTGACAAGGGAAACAGAATATCATAACAAGGATAAAAAATGCTAAGAAATCACGTGCGTACATAATCTTGGGGCTGCACAGCTCAATTCGATCAACAATGCAAAGTGGTCCATTGAACTAAAATATGGCTATATATCCACGATAAAACAATAAGTATGGCTTACAGACAGCTATACACAGGGTTGGAGCCACAGTGTTGGTTACGGGTTTGGCCGAACGCAATAGTTTTTGTTCAAATTATGTATGCGTATTAAGAAATCTAATAAATATGTACAAATTATTAATTTATGTTGAAGATTGAAGGTGCAAAATATAAAGCTAAGGACTAAACTGTAATTTAGCAAACTTATAACCGAAAATAGGAAGGTAGTTACTAACTACCTTGTGTTAGTTATGAGAATATCTGGATCGGCTCTATCTATATATGTGTATGATCAACTCATTCTAAACTTAACTCAATGAAATGAATACAATACACTTTGATTATTCCTCTCTCAAAATCATCTGATTCTCTCTTCTTCCTCGACTTCATCTCTTCCTCTAATTCTTTTCTTCTTCTTCCTCTTCTTCTTCTGTATTTGTTATTGAGCTTCTTAGCTCATATAGTAGATCATAAATCAGTTTATGGTATCAGAGCCCCAAGCCATAGAGCTTGAAGATCAAATCAATTCTGCACAAACTTCTGAAAAAATTCATTCAATTCAAAGAAACAAGGATGAGTATCAATGGAGGTCAAGAAGGTTTCACAAATGTTGTTGCATCTGGTGGAGGAAGCAGTCAAGATTCTCTTGGAATCAACTACAGTCATCCTCTATTTCTGCATCCATCAGATGTGAGTGGTATTCAGATTATCACATTCCAACTCACAGTTATTGAAAACTACTCTATCTGGTTTCGATCAATGAGGCTTTCTCTGTTAGGAAGAAACAAACTAGGACTTGTTGATAGTTCATGTAAAAAAGAAGATTTCCCTGAAGCTATGGGGAACCACTGGAAAAGGGTTAATGCTATAGTTCTTTCATGGATAATGAGTTCAGTAGCAAAAGGTCTTCTAGGAGGCATTATGTATGCTACTAATGCACAAACTATTTGGGAAGAATTACATGAAAGATTTAACAAAATTGATGGTTCAAGAACCTTCAATGTTCATAAATAAATCGCTACTTTAACTCAAGGAACTGCTACTATGTCTAACTATTTTTCAAAACTAAAAGATCTATGGGAAGCATTTGAGGAGTTAGTTCCTGCCCCCCAGTTGCAACTGTGAGAAATCCAAAGATTTTAGACTGCATTTGCAGAAGCTGAAGCGGTTTCAGTTTTTAATGGGGCTTAATGATTCGTATGCCCAGGCTAGAAGCCAAATCTTGCTCATGAGTCCTATGCCTTCTGTAAACCAAGCCTACTCTATGGTTTTAAGTGATGAAAGCCAAAAGTCAGTCAAGAATGTGACTAGTATTCTAGGTGCCAATCCTGCAGTTTTTCCAGGGAACTATGAGGTTGCTATGTTCACCAGAAATGATGGTGGTAATCAGAACTATAAGTTCAAGAAGAACTACAACTTAGAATGTGATGTGTGCAAACTCAAGGGTCATACTAAAGAAACCTGCTACAAAGTAGTAGGATACGCTCCTAACTTCAAGAAAAGGAAGTTTGGTCAATCAGCTGCTTATAATGTGCTGGATAGTTGCACATCTCAGACAAATCAAAGTGATGATTACAGTGAGTTTACACAAGCCAACTTTCCACAACCAAATCAAGAGTGAACCACTCTGAGGTGCAGCACAATGGACAGAATGTCAACATTGTTCCTACCTTGTTCACCAAAGAACAATACAATCAACTCCTTCAAATGATTAACAAAGAAGAAGTAACTTCAACCTACTCAGCTAATACAGCAGGTAAGCATAATGGTTATATTGCTACCAAGAGTCTTCAGGATGGATCATTGACATAGGTGTAACCAATCACATGGTGTCAAGTTTGAGCTATTTAGATAATGATACTGTGATCAAGCAAGAAATACCAAAAAAGGTGTTTCTACCTAATGGTGATGTGTCTCTAGTTACACATGTGGGAACAAGTAATCTCTTTAACAAGGATACTATCACAAATGTATTTAAAATACCACAGTTTAAGTATAACCTTTTATCTGTATCAAAACTGACTAAAGGGCTAAACTGGATGGTTGTTTTCTTTCCTGAGTTTTGTGTTTTTCAGGATCTCTTGAGTGGGAAAGTGAAAGGAGTTGGTAGAGAAAAAGATGGACTATATATGTTTGTGACCAATACACAGGAAGACAATAAAAGTGCAGGTTTAACAGTTCAAGCTACAGGCTACAGAGCCAACAATAAAGAAGCTAATATACAACTATGGCATAGTCGACTAGGACATGTTTCTATCTCTGTAATGAAGAAAATTCTACATGTTTCTCATGAAGTTATAGCTGATAGATTAGCTAACTGCAAAATGTGTCCATGTGCAAAACAAACTAAGTTTCCATTTCCTACCAGCAGTATTAGAACAACCAACTGTTTTGACTTAGTTCATATGGATGTATGGGGACCCTACAAGTTCCCTACCTTTGATGGATATAGATACTTCTTGACTATAGTAGATGATCATTCAAGAATGACTTGGCTCTATCTGTTTGCCTTAAAGTCTGATGTGTGTGTTCTCGTTCAGCAGTTTGTTCAGCTTATTAAAACACAATTTGATAGAACAATTAAGGTCATCAGAACAGATAATGGTACATAATTTGTCAACTCTGTCTGTAGTGAATTTTTCAGCAAACTTGGGATCATTCATCAAAAAACATGTGTCTATACCCCACAACAGAATGGGGTCGCAGAAAGAAAGCATAGACATATTTTGGAAATCACTAGAGCCATCGGGTTTCAAGGCTCCATACCTATTAGATTCTGGGGAATGTGTGTGCTTGCAGCTGTTCATATAATAAATAGAATGCCTAGCTCAATACTCCAACACATGTCTCTATTTGAGAAATTGTACAAAAGAAAACTATCAATTCAACACCTGAGAGTTATAGGGTGCCTATGTTATGCTAAATATATGCAAGAAACTGACAAAATGCTGCCTAGAACAAGAGTTGCAGTGCATATGGGATATGCAGAAAATCAGAATGGATCTATTATATGACATTGAAAGACAGGAGTTCTTTGTCAATAGAGATGTAATATTCAAAGAGCATGTCTTCCCTTTCCTTATCAGAACAAACAAACCACAAAACCAGTCTATCTTTACTGACACAATACAAAACCAATCATACTTTATACAGAGCTCCATACTATAGAAGACAGCCAATTTTTAAATACTACAGTTCCTAACAGTCATCAAACTGAAGCATAGGAAGTCACTACACAAAATGCTGAACAAAGTGTAGAGATAGAAGCTGATACAGCATATTCATCTCCACCAGTAGATCCTGCACTTCATGAATAACCCATACAACTTCACAATCAAGATGATCAAGTAGAGCAAATTCCTCAGAATCCTATAGAATCACAGGTCAATCAAAGATATTCAGAAAGAGAAAGACAACCACATATATGGATGAAAGATTTTGTGTCACTTAACATTCACAAAGACACTCCATATGCCATATCCAACTACATAACCTATGATACACTGAATCCACAGCATCAAACTTACATTTCCAAGGTTCAACTGTTACAAAACCAAAGAACTACTCAGAATCCTTAAAATATCCAAGGTTAGTGGATGCTATGAAAGATGAGATTGAAGCCTTACAGAAAAATCATACATGGGAGATGTAACGACCCGACCGGTTGTTTTGTTCCCTAGCGCATCGTTAAGGTGTTTGAGGCCCTGAGCAGCTTCACCTACGCGTGGTCGAAATTGAATTTCGGAAAGTTCGAGGTTGATTTGGAAAGAAAATTCTCATTTCGAAAGCTTTAACTTGGCATAATTGACTAAGCCTAGATTTTTGAGTAAACGACCTCGGAATCAGGATTTGAAGGTTCCAATAGGTTCGTATGATGATTTTGGACTTGGACGTATGTCCGTATCGGGTTTTGGATGATCCGGGAGCGTTTCGACGCCTATTGTGTAAGTTAGCATTTTGGAAGAATTTTGTAAGTTTGGGTTGAAGTGCATTTCAGTGTTATCGATGTCCATTTGGGATTCCGAGTCTGGGAATAGCTTTGTATGGCGATTCTGGTATCGGGAGCACGATCGGGAGTGGATTTGGAGGTCTGTAGGTCATTTTGGAGTCATTTCGCTAAAGTTAGAAATTTGAAGGTTTTTGAGAAG